TTATCTCTTTACGGGCGAATGTAGAGCAACGGGAAACTATATTCGCAAAAAGGAACAAACGAAGAGAAAACAAACGAGATAAATTAGACCCGAAAATGCGAGCCCTGCTTCCCACGTAATCCAGGTGGACTTTACGCATCTGGTTCCGCACGATCGCCCCGCCACAGGCGACGCACACAGTAATAGCGTTTCGGGAGTGATTTACGCTAACGAAGTGTACTTCGTATACAAGCCGAACGATAGCGGCCGTGCCGGCCGGTCATTATGTTTCGCGGCTTGCCGGGTTTAGTTAGCAGTACGGAACCAAAATGGTGGTAAGTCCGTACGGGCTTCAGGGGGGAGGGGGGGAGGTTGATGTCCTCCAGCTTTTATTCTGTCCAAGACGAGAAGCAGGGGGGGGGTGGTGGCAGATACCTTCTTGGCCTAAAAGAAATACGGTTTTTTTCACTTCCTGGCTCCTCGTGTGGAACTGCCGGACATAATTCGTCTTGCGGTGGCTTCGTATACAGCCTCGCGGCTTTTAGAGGTCAAGAGATAAGCGCTCGTGGGACGTTATTAGAAAGACACAACGTGGTCTCCTCCTATAGGGATGCCATCTTCGCTTTTCGCTTCAGGACTGTACGAAACGACATTTTCGGGATCGCGGAGAGAAGCAGTGTGGGACGGCGTAGGAAAAGCTTCTATACTTTAGGCGTATAGGGGCTTTCTATAGCGTGCACGCCGCGTAGGAAGGAATTCGCTCGTCTCTTCGCTTTTTTTTTTTTTTTCGTGGATCTCGGAACCTTCTTGTGTCGCGGCGCCGAGGCGATCGTCTCTCGTATTTATTGCCAGCCGTAAAGATTAATGCCGCGTGTTGCTCGATTCTCACTATATATACGTATGTGCCGACTCTTCCTGGCCCGTCTGCTATCCCCCCTTTTGCTACGTATTCGTTGCACGACTATATACCGTGCTCTCCGGAATGTTACGTGTAGTATATATACTTATATGGTGATGCTGTTGTGACAGCTGTAGGAACATGGCATGCCAAAGCACAAGTTTAAAGGCCTGACCACAAGGGCCAGTTGAAGCGCGTCAGCGCGTGACTCGTTTGCACTGGTGCAGCACCCTCTCCCATATGAAAAAGAGGGTGCGGGGCTAGCGAAGCGAAACTGCGCGCCCCCTCTCTCTCTTTATGGGAGAGGGTGCGGCGACGCGTCAGAAAGACACGCGCTGACGCGCTGCAACGCCTAGGTGTGGTCAGACCTTATGACTAAACTTTTCTAGCGAAGCTTCTACAAATTTCGTTGTTGGCGGCATCATGCGCGAGAAACGCGGCACCGGCGAGTGTACAGAAACGAGGCTGGCCTTTGATGGCATAAGCTTGGGCATGGTTGCATTTCGGAGGTGGGGGGTGGTGGGAGGGGGGGAAGGTTTGTCCCCTCCTTCTTGTGAAATCAATGTATAGGGAAGAATTTGCGTCCCTTCCCCCATAGGTGACTAAGAAAAAGGCAACGCCTCTTGCCTCCCCCCCCCCCCCGGCACAGCCTATGCTTGAAGGTACGCTGGTCACATGTGCGTTTTCGTACGTGCCCCAATAACTAATGTTGCCTCAATCGTGACCTTGTCGGTGATAGGCCGTTCCTTATATGGCAGTCTGATATCTCTTATCGATTTAACTTGTGATTTCAAGCTGCTGCAGTTCATTGTTGCCTAGATACGAAAGCATGAACGTCGCTGCTGCAGCTCCAATTCACCGGCATGTATACGAAAGAAAACGTTGTGAGGAAGCATTGCACAATAAGGAAAAAAATGGGAAAGGCTCTTGAATTGGAAGGGCTCTTGAACGTTCCTACTGGGCTCACATGTGTGCAGCAGAGCAAAGGACGCTCACGGTGCGACGATAGCGGTGAGCATGATCGTCAGTCATCGAAATGTGATCCTTGGAGGGCGCACGTCGCACAATTCAGTGGATTTGCTACTTTGCTAGTGCTCGTCCGATTTCACGACATGCTCTGCAACAATCAGCAGGCTGTGATCTGTATGTATGTATGTATGTATGTATGTATGTATGTATGTATGTATGTATGTATGTATGTATGTATGTATGTATGTATGTATGTATGTATGTATGTATGTATGTATGTATGTATGTATGTATGTATGTATGTATGTATGTATGTATGTATGTATGTATGTATATGTACGTACGTACGTACGTATGTATGTATGTATGTATGTATGTATGTATGTATGTATGTATGTATGTATGTATGTATGTATGTATGTATGTATGTATGTATGTATGTATGTATGTATGTATGTATTATGCGCGTCCGTTTTCTACTCCTTGCTTTTCTTCACAAAGTACAGAGCGGTTTTTTCTGCAATACATAGTTCAGCTCTCTTTGATTTTCTCTATTCGCTTATCTATGTCAATCTCTATCTCTGTATACCAACACTGCTTTTTATATACGTTAATGTTAACTGCTATCAGATTTTGATGTTCAAAAGTACGACTACGAAGAGCGTTGCATATGTACGTAATACTCTCGCAACCTTCATCTGCCTCAAAGTTTTAAACGCAGTAAACGCCCACCGTTCGCGATACTTAGCGTAACTTTTACGCCGTCTAACGACAAATTCTGTGCACATTCCTAGAGCGAAACACCGTCGTCGAAATAAAGGAAGCGCCTTAGCCCTATGCATCTCTTCTAACGTTACGCCACGGCCCGAGAAGGCGTAAAAAGCTTAAACGATCCGCCGAGTTTTGAACGAGTTTATACGGTATACGACCGGAAGCTACGGTATGTCTCCCGCGCTCATTCGGACTTGCGTGTCGGCGGCAGTTAAACGTCGGCAATTCGTGACATCTTCGAAGCGAAAGCGTGCAGAACGCGTCGCGCTGTAATTCCCTTCCGTATATCGGCGTACACATTCAACGCGCTCCGAGGCGAGACAGCGCCGAAACTAACGATTGAGCCGTAAGAGATAAAACTAAGGAATGCCCGATCCCGGACCTATAGTCACATAGTAGACGGTTCCGCAGAAAAAACTCGCGGCGAACGAGACGCAGAAACCCTCTTGTGCAGCCTATATATCCGAAAGTGGAAATGAGATACCCATTGGAGGTACGAATAAGACGGGTGACTGCCTTCGCCTCTTTTTTACGGCCTAGAGTGTCCCGGTGAGGTGCGGCATAGGCGAACGTTTCGGGCATTTAATCACGCCTCCATAAATCGACCCCGCTGGATCGCTTTAGTTTTCTTGTACTTCTAGTTGGCGCGAATGGCGCCAGAGGGCGCGGCGACGCCTGCGGTGTCCGCCATTGCGGCGTCGCCCACCATTCACGTGAACCGTTCCTGCCTTCTTCCTCCCCCGCCAGAAAAACGCTTTTAATGACAGCGCGCACGACGACTGCTGAGAGAAGTGATAGATCGAACTTTTATGCGCGCCGCCTCGTGGGCTTGGCAGTGACTATTTACTTCTTGGAACTGCAGTAACACCGAGGCTCGGTATTAGCGTGTGCTAAACGATAATGGAGATATTGGCTTTTGTGACTCGAGCTGTCCGACCTCGACCATCTGATGCACATGTCAAAACTTTGCGAGGATAGTGCGTTATCTACCCGAGGTTTCTCTTTATTTCGTTCTGGCGCACGACCCCGACCACTGAGGGAAGTGCACTCCCGCCACATTTATTACTGTGCGATGATTACTACCTGCACTGTACTGTCACGTAAATAGCTCTGTCAGCGGAATCTTTATGAACCTCTTAGGTGTGGCTTCGTTCACTTGTGATAACAAGACAGCTTGTGAGCAACACATTATTTACTCACCAGGTGCGGACGTAGCTATTCCAGCCTATAGCTACGATATACGTTCCAGGGATATCCAAAAGAAAGGCAAAAAGTGGAAGATGAAAGCTTGCGAGGAAAAATTTGTAAACAAAAACAGGGGCTACTTCTTTTTCTCAAAGAGAACTCCACTCGTCGAAACGTTGGCTCCAGCACCGACCCCCTGTTTACGAATTTCTGTGACAGAGAGACAGACAGACAGACGGGATAGATAGATAGATAGATAGATAGATAGATAGATAGATAGATAGATAGATAGATAGATAGATAGATAAATGTAGTTTACCTTTAACGTGATAGCGGAGTTAAGGAAATGGCGTTACCGTGCAGAAAATGTTCGTTGCGGACAGCGTCTTACAGTTTAGCGGGATAGCGTTTACGTGGTTTACGAGCCCCAGCTGGGACGGTGGCACCACCTATCGGGTGGTTAATAAGGTAAGGAAGCAGCGAAAATAAAAATAAAACGAGAATGTTTGCCTATGCCACCCCGCGAAACATTGTTACAAGTTTATTTTAGTAATAATAAAAAGCAAATAAATATGAACCACGCACCAAACGCGAAAAAAAAATATGTTGCCGATTTGTTTATATCTATATTGTAGTTAGGCCTAGACGCGTTCGAAATGGGAAGCAATCTCAAAAACTACGTGAACTTATCCGTAATACTCGGTCGTCGAAGCTAAATCAAGGCAAGCAAAGTCACTTTATAAACAGTCGTTTGTTGCGAATAAAGTGAATATTTCAACAACTATGCCAAAATCACTTCGAAGTGGGCGTCCGAGGGAGCCGCCATGTTGTACGTACACTGCGTACACCTACGCTACCACGGTAACGTTAAATCTGAAAAATACCGCGCGTACGGTTTGCGGTACGGGTAACGTACGTATCTGCGCATGCGCGCTTCGATCCTGCTATCACGGTACGCCCGGTAAGCCCGGTATACTATAATTCTCTATAATTACACATATTTGCCTTGAGTTAATGAATTGACTCTAGCACTGTCGGGTAAATGCATGGATTTATTGCCGTATAGTAGCACGTGATAGCACATATAATGACTATGAGTGTACAATTTATGCTTTATTGTGTATGTGCATATGATCTCGAATGTGAGTGTACGGTTTATTCTTTATGGTGTCTCTGTATGTGCTTTTACAACAGGGCCATGCGTACGGTACCGGCTACGACGGTCATCTTGCTAGCAACCCTGGGCATCACAGTCACGGGTGAGTACACTGTCCAAGCGTACGCTTATTCGCTTGATGGTGTAAGCATTCATCACGCGTATCTTGCCGTATTGGGTATACGACACAGCAAGTTTTCAAGTAAGCAAGCAGCTTTTTTCAGGCACGAGACCACTTAGCGATTTAGCAACATAACTGGCAGGCTGCATATATGTAACAGGTGAGAATATTTCATTCCACGATGCCACTACTTTTTTTCCTGCTAGTATTAGTGTTATTATGTGTTTGTAATTAATATTAAGCTATTCCTATTGTATTACACTGTACGAGCCTGAAGGTTGACTTACAAAGTTCAACAGATAAAATGTCTTGTTTGTTTATATCGTGCGCGCCTTGTATATGGGGGCTCGGGCTGTTCTCGAGAGTATTGATTTTTTTTCCTTTTGCCCTAGCGTTCCTGAATTGTGATTGTGCAAATAAATGTCCTCTTAAACTTCAACATTTAACCGAGTTTTAGTGAAATTGTCTTGTCCGAGATATACTTGTTATTTATTCACTTGGTTTGTATACGTTGAAAAAAAAAAAAAAAACGAAGACTGGGAGGAAATAGGGAGAGAACAGGCTGACAGCTGATACCTGTAGGGGCACATGGGCTCCCTGCTACTTCGGGAAGGGGAAAGCACAGAGGAAAGACAGAAGGAGGGAAGGAAAGGAGAGATAAGAGGAAAGGACAAACAAAACAAATAACAGTAAATACAAATAAATAGCCACAAGACCGGAAGAAATGATGCACGCCCTTTTTTTTTTTTTATCACAAAGCAGTCTTCGCACACTAAATACGTTGCGGTTAACGTGCCTTACAATATTGCAATGTAAGAGTAGTTGATATGCGACGAGTTGGTCCAAGAAGAAGTGCTAATGACGCGCTCACAAATAAATGAAACCTCTGCGGAGTCAGCCTGATTAGTACTTATCTCAAGGTTGCCCTTTTTATCTATAATCACCACAGTTATCATCACAATCATCACCTTCTTCACGTTTTAGGGCCGTTCCACGCGCTTCCCGCACAGCCACAACGCACGTGCCGTGACCCCTGCCGCACGCAAGCAGGGGAAAAATAAGCCAATTGGCGACGCTGCGGAGGGCGAAAGAGCGTCGCCAATTGGCTTATTTGTCCCCCGATTGCGTGCGGTAGGGGTCCCGGCACGTGCGTTGCGGCTGTGCGGGAAGCGCGTGGAACGGCCCTTATGCACACTGCAGGCTCGACAGGGGAAAACTTCAGAGCTAATTATTAGAATTTGGCGTAAGGCTAGTTGGTAACTCGTCACATTGTAGGCACTTATCGCAATTTGATAAGCCCTCGAAAAAAACGTTCACACTCACACCCTCATCTAATCAAGAAACGCACCCCGCAGCGCTGTGTCCGGAGTGCGTTTGAGTGAATGCTTGGAGTAAGCTGAGTGTTTGTCGGGGGAATACCAAGTTGAGACTGCAGGGATTGCGACACAAAACTATCGCGCAAGTGACACATATGGACGACCTCATACGTATACCGCTGCGGCATACACACGCCGTCAGTAAAACTTACCCCGTGCCACGACGTCAGAGGCGCAATCACGATTCTCGATGACGCCAGGTTCGGCGTTTTTCAAATCCCAGCTTGAGCATAAAATTAGACTCTCCTAAACAGCCCAAACAACAATTGCGAAATGGCATTTCTAAAGTATCCTTCACTACCCTAAAACAACAGACGCAGATGCATTCACAAATGATTCGAGCATTTTCGCGCGCCTTGTTTACGTACTGCGGACGTGTACGTTGTGTGCCCTGCAATACGGTACTGGACCCCGCCCCCTTTTCCAAAAAAACCCCTGTGTTAGGGTGCAGGCGCATCACACGCAAGCTAAGTCTTGCCGCGTTTTGCCATTACTATTTGCATGACTTCGTGGCACCACGCGCGCCAGTCTTCAATTATTGCTCGCGCGGTTTATGATCTCCCACAAAAACCACACGCGCGTGCTCTGCTTTTTTTTCCCGCATCGCACTTTCGTAAAAAGCACAGTGCTGCTAGATGCTATGGCTTGGCTTATTCCTCAGGCTCTCCACGACCCTTCCGCCCTCCCTCCTTTTTTTTCCCGCCTTCCAGCGTTGCCAGGACGTTATGGAGATGCAGGGCTCTTTCATTTGCAACCAGACTACGAGGAAAGAAGGCTTTATCGTCGCAACGTTCGCTTTTTAAGAAAGAGATCCCGCGCCCGTTAAGGTTTGTGAGCTGCGCTCGTGCGTTTACAAAACCATAGCGCGCGAAAGTTGCGTATTCATGTATGCTGGGAATGCACCCAGCAATGGTTGCATCGCGAAAAAAAAATTAAGACCTCGCGGCAGTTACGTAGAAATGGGTGCGCTGCAGAATTCGGGCACTGATGTGGCGGAGCCTAATGAAAGCTGTTCGTTCGCTTGTTTCGCGCCCGTCTTACTCCACGGAGCCATTGAGTATAGTAAAGTTTGCTTGCTAGAAGCTTCGCAGGGATATGTATAAAATTTCGTAACGCGAACAAGCCTGGTCTGCTTATGGGGCCGTTCATTTGGTCGAAGAGTGCACTTCCATTCGTCGGTTACAATGGGAACACTAACCAAACCGACATGTATACAGCATGGAAACGTGCTGGCCGACAACTAGCTCGTTTCACTGGAATACGTCGTAGAGATGTTATTAGCAGGGATGAGGCATATGCCAGTTTAATGAGGGTTTCAGGTGCGTCCTCCGGAAGAGTGCTGCATAATGTACCTTATCATATAGGGTGTTTTACGGCGAAATGGCCTGTTATTTTCAGGGGGCACCAAGACGTGGTGTATTGCGAAAGCAACGGTGGGATTAACGAACAGTGTATATCGGTATACGGGCCTAGAAATACATTCTCTTTATGGTAGTGTGGGTGAAGTAAGCGTGACAGCAACAAAACCACAACAATGACAGCAGAGCTGTGCAGCGAGATTGTAATATGAACGCCTCACCATGGGACTAACGCCTTTTCCAGGAATCTTGCAGATATAGAAGGCTTGTGTCACCTGCATGCCGCGAATGACTTGCGTCGTTGCTAATAGCTGTTATATAATTAATATACGGGAAAGACAATAAGCCCAGGATTATATGGCACTCTGGGTATATCGTTAACGAGCGCCCTCATGTTGCATTTCCTTCACGCCACCTATAGCGTTATAACCACCTCGCCGTTTAAGTACTTCACGATTCTCTTCATGCTTATTTACTTGTTGGCGTGTGTTTGCAGCTTGCATCACTACCACGGTGTTTTCTTTCTCATTTCAAGCGCAAGAGAGTTATTTGGAGGGCGTACTGGGCGGGATCACATTATAGCGCGATAGCGTGCCGGTTTATGCGGCGTGTACTTCCAGGTGTTATATGACCGCGAAACTGCGGTAGACGCCCATACGGATACTTCGCTATGCAGTGTTTGGTCGAGTCTCTTTTTCGCGTGCTCCCTCGTACGCATACGGCGGTCAAACGCCTCACATGTGCGAGAAACACCAGGGCTCACACGCAGGATAAGAAAAAAAAAACGAAAATAGAGAGATTGGAACTGAGAAACAAAACGTGGTTCGGAAAGCAAGAACACACGCGAAGCGAGATCGGCATCAACACATGAAAACAGTGACGCCTCGTAAGCCTTGCTATAAGGCAGCTAGCGAACGCCACTGGCTTGGCTCGTCTCGGCTTGACTCGGCGCGTGAGCGACGCTAATTGAACATTAAAGCTTGATGGCGCCTTTCGCGTTTTCCACGTCCAGCTTCTATGCGCCCACGTGCTACGTTAACGTCCGCCAGGCCTCGCAACTGTCAAGCCGGCAAGAGCAACAACGGTATAGTGATGCTTCGTTCGCTGGGATGATACCGGCTCTGTTGGGTTCACCCGCGTTATCGTGGCATTCACTGGGTGACCTTTTAGCGTACGCCTTCGGACGAGACTTGTTTCGGCGGCATCTCGGAGGCGGTGCTGCTGCCTTGCATCATTGATACACGGGAGCACGGTTTTCTCTCGAGGCTGAGAAACTATGCCGAGGGCTCGACTGTCTTATTGCGCTGTAAGACTTTTGTTAATGACGGTGCGTCGCTGAGATGTTAAGGGTCACTTTATCGTGGAGAGTGAAACAGACAAACAAGCTAAATAAGAATATATGTATACATCAAAGAGCGGAGAACTTTTGGAAATAACTTCGCCTAAACGATCGTTTTGCTAACCTTATGTTTTCGAACGCAACGACTGATTCGACGATAGTCTCCAAGTGGGCTTTCTGTGCGAGCTCGACATGAGGGCAAAAGGAGACGCAAAGAAGAAATACACGCGGAGCTTAAAGAGTGCTAGGACGTCTTCGGGAAGGGTGTTCGTGAGGGTACAAGGGCCTAACGACTGTACTCTGCGTGTTGCTCTGGTGATGAGGGCCACCATATACCCCGCCGCGGTGGTCTAGTGGCCAAGGTACTCGGCAGCTGACCCGCAGGTCGCGGGATCGAATCCCGGCTGTGGCCGCTGCAATTTTGATGGGGGCGAAAATGCTGTAGGCCCGTGTGCTCAGATTTGGGTGCGCGTTAAAGAACCCCAGGTGGTCAAAATTTCCGGAGCCCTCCACTACGGCGTATCCCATAACCATACGATGGTTTTGGGACTATAAACGCCACAAATCAATCAATCAGGTCCCCCGTATGCCCAGGGTCTTGAAGAATACACGTTTTCCATTTTTCTGTGCTGCCCTCAGCCGTTCTGGTAGAGTTTTGGTAGGGGTTGATAGAACCGGTATTGCTAGAACAAAAGCCTTCCAGACCAGGGAGCGTTTTGCGACTTTACCGATATAGGAAAAGGGCGCATGCACCGTAGAATTTTGAAAAACGCGGATAAAAAGAGACACGATGCACGAGAGATGTAGCAGCAATCTTACCGCCGTTGTTTCTGTCGTAATGGTAGGTAGTGGTACTTGTTGTAGAAATAATGTCGTAGTGTTGATAGTATCTTTCAATGTTGTTATTCCAGTAGTAATTGTTGTTGTCGCTGTTTAAATAGTAGTATAGTCCAAAAGGGGTGAAGCCAGGAGTATACGTAAGGTTGAAGAGGGGAAAAAGTTCTAAACAGGTTGTATGAGCTGGAGCCGAAACGATCACCCCAGCACACGACCTGTTTATGAAGTTTCCATCTGTTGTAGTACTGTAGCAGTAGTTCTGCTGTTTCGTAGTGACTACGAGCAGTGTCAGAACGCCATCCTCAATATTCGATCTGTTAAACAGGTAATACCACGAGTAACGACACGAACCGTGCGTACGAATAACGCAGGGCCCCGGTGGTGGGGTGCAACCGCCTCGTCCTCGTCGATACCGCTGGTCCATCACCACCAGAGCCACGCGACGTACGACGGCCACTGCCGGCAGCCGGGTCCTCTGGGCCTGCTGGCGGGCCGGCTGCAGGAGTGGCAGCTGAGTGCCAGCTCGACGCGACAGCCCGAATGCCAGCTGCGCTACGCCCGCGTGCTCGAGCTGGCCTCGCGCGGTGCCTGGTGTCCCGCCAAGGACGCCGACACAGAGTGGATACAGGTGGACCTGGGCGCGGACGCTAAGGTGAAGCAGCGATCCTTCTTCGTTCTTGAAGCCTGTACCAGAAGTTAGACCTTACGGAAAAAAAAGACGCATACCAGCAAGGAAAAAATATAATAAGACAGAACAAAAAGAACGCCCTCTCTGTTCTGTCTTTAACTTTTGTCCTGGATGGTACGCTTTTTTTTTTTGTATGTCGTCCTTTCGGTTCTCTCTTGAATTTTCCATCCTTGATGGTGCGTGTCTTTTTTTTATTTCAGTAAACATATACCACATAGCCAGACAAAAAGTTTTATTAAAAATTTATACCATCGGGTAACGATTGGCTGCAGTTTGAAATTTATTTTTTTATCAAGCACGGTATTTTCATGGCTGTACAGAATGTGAAGCAGTGGCACGGATGAATTACCTCGAGGAGAGAAATAGAAAGAAGCAAGGAAAGACAGGGAGGTTAACTGGATGCACGTCCGGTTTTCTACCCACGGCTGGTTGAGAAAAGGATAAACGGACGAAGAGACATACAGAAGATCAGTCTTGACAAACCTATAGTTAACGGAACAGTGTGCGGATACTGACGAAGACACGCAGGTGATAAACGATCTCCAGATCTAAAGTAATCTCCTTTCGTCTTCGTCGGTATATGCGCATATTTCACTTCAGTATGTTTAACCAACAAGCCTTAGTGTAAACACTGGTGAAACTACAGCCGAACCCAACATGACACAACCCAGGGAAAGGCTAAACCTCACTCTGCCCTACGCGAAACCTCGCCCTATTCTAGCTAACATAACACAACCGAAGACAGTCCAGTCGAACACAACCTGAGCTAACTCAAGTTAACCCAATCTCACCTAACCTAACCTAACCCAACCCAAACCGCCGACTCAGCAGTGTCGCCTACCTAAATTTTCAGCACGACATAACGTGGACAAAAACGCATTGTCCGTGCGCCCTGTGGCGTCGAGAGAAACCTTCCGCATAGCGTCGTATGTTGAGCGGTATCGCTTGGCACCACGTGAAACTTTGCTATTCGGTGTGTCACCAAGCACAACTATTTTCAACCACTTCAGAGCTTGCTCTTGGTAGTTCGAATTTCGAATCATACGTTTTACTTTCCGGTTACCGAGAAGTTCGCATCGATGGGATACCATAACGTACGGCTCCTATTAGTTATCCATGCTCCGTTGACAGCAAAATTTCGACAAAGGTCACTTTAAGCGATGTACACGTTTTGCCGAACCTTTCGCACTCTCTGTCCTACAACCGCGTGTGCCCTCTTCCTTTGCAGATCACGGGACTGCTGTCCCAGGGCCGTGGCGACGGACGTGAGTGGGTTTCTTCGTTCGCCGTGTCGTACAGCATGGACGCCTACCACTGGAAACACTGCCTTGACGCCCACGGGAACAAAAAGGTGAGGCCATGAAGGACTTCACAATAAGACGTGATAATAAAGCTCGCTAACAGCAGCTGGTGACGAGATAAGAACTACGGGTCATGGCATATAGTCCGGGACAACGCTATTCTACACTCAAATGACCCCGGCCCAACAAAAAGTGCATTTTTTTGTGTCAGTGCTTCTTTAGCATATGCTCTTTAATACATGAAATGCATTCAATTTCTTCTGCATGGGTAACTCATCAATTGCTCGTCGTAAAAAAAAATAATTATGCAGTTTGACCGGTTGTTTCGACGTTGAATGCGCATGACACTAACTAAGCAAGATGAGAACTTTCTTCGCGCTGCCCAGAGTGCAACGAGGTGATCTCGGTTCCTCCCGTGGCGCGACTGACGGCGTCCAGCTGGCGTCCCTGGCACCCGCAGCAGGGCTCGTGCAGCCCTGACGAGGCGCAGCTCTTCTCCAGGGGCGGTTGGTGCGCACTCAGGAACAACGGCAACCAGTGGCTTCAGGTATGATAGATAGATAGATAGATAGATAGATAGATAGCTAGATAGATAGATAGATAGATAGATAGATAGATAGATAGATAGATAGATAGATAGATAGATAGATAGATAGATAGATAGATAGATAGATAGATAGATAGATAGATAGATAGATAGATAGATAGATAGATAGATAGATAGATAGATAGATAGATAGATAGATAGATAGATAGATAGATAGATAGATAGATAGGAGATGCCATGGACGGATGGATGGATTGATGGATGGATGGATATGTGCATTATACCCAGAATAATTAAAACAACAACCATACTCGTTGAAATATTCTGGCCTTTGCAATCGGTTGAAACACTTCTCACATCGCATAGCCCGTCGATTCCTATCTTGTTTCGGTTTCACGTCATTTTAATGTAACCGATAGTCGGATTTATCATGCTTCCCAGTGAAATAAAACTAATTACGGCTTGGTGCCACCCGATAAAAGTGATTGCATTCTCTGACAAACCGGTTGTATTCGCCGCCAGGTGGACCTGGGGCCGGCGACCCGAGTGACCGGTGTGGCCACCAGGGGCCGCGGGGATGCCCGGCGCAAGCACTGGACCACGGCGTACCTGCTCTCCTACTCCAACGACAGCCTCCGGTGGCACCACTACAAGGACGACAACCACCTGGATCCCAAGGCCGGTCCGCCTTCTCTTCTGCCACACTCGCGAGCATTTTGTTGTTTCGTCGTAACGACGCCCGCGTGACGTGTGTACAAGAGCGTGGTACTGTGGTTGCGCAACCGCTGCAGGTGTTCGGGGGCAACATGGACCGCGACACGGAACGACGCCACTACCTGAACCAGCCGTTCGTGGCGCGATTCGTTCGCTTCCAGCCCACCTCGTGGAAGAGGAGGATCGCGCTCAGGGCCGCCGTCATCGGGTGCCCGCACAGGGGTGAGGAACTGCTACAGCGAAAGCTGTTATGAAATCACTGGAAGGGTCGTTTTTGTAGCGTTAGCTACGCTGGCCTCACTGAGCAAATTTCGCGTGGCACTGGTCTGCGCATGCGCAATGATACTCCGCCGCCGCCGCCGCGCGCGGCTCGCCGCCGGTGTGCGCGCAATTCGATGCGCTGCGCTGACGATCAGTGGTGTGACGCACCGGAGCCGGCACCTCCCTCGCACTCGGCCGCGGCCGCGCGCGACTCGCAGCCGCCGGTGTGCGCGCAATTCGATGCGCTGCGCTGACGATCAGTGGTGTCACGCACCGGAGCCGGCACTTCCCTCGCACTCGGCCGCGGCCGCGCGCGACTCACAGCCGCCGGTGTGCGCTTTTTTTGTTTGTTTGTTTTGGCGCCGTAGTTGAACGCCTCGGCCATCGCCAGTGTCCGTGACCAGTATCGCGTAGTATAAAAAAAGGTCAAGTAAATAAAAAATGCGAAGGACAGAACGACATTCGAAAACGGGACTCTTACTTACCAGCTTATAATTGTACCACGGAGTTACGCCGGTGCTTTAAACTCCTTTGCAAATGGATCCTAGGCGGGTTTCATATCATGGAAGAAATCACGTTAATATGAGTAATAAGTTCTTTTGGAACACCAAAGTAACAACCAGGCGTCACACAATACTAATCGCGTAACTATCTATCAATGCCCCAACCTATTACAAAAGCCTCAAGAATAATTCATCATTGTCGTCAGCCCGAGGATGAAAATAATGCACAAAATTTCTTGCACAAGTGTAGTAGGTACCACGATACTCCGAAGAATGACGAAATATGGCCTAGTGGATGCGTTGATACTAGTGTGCTTGTAGTACTTACCCAAAAAGTGTTTTAAAGGGGCTCTAAAAAGGCCCGCTCTCCCAGCTTTCACTGTGACTGTTCAGCGCGCTTTGCGCAGGCCTAGCGTTTCGCCGCTGAATGTCTCACTCGTTAGGGATTATATGAACCCTTCCGGCACACTCTTTCCATCGACGTCGGTGTAACCGTGACGGTCCGTATGCAGTGAAAGCCAATCACACTGACTCGCGCTTCGCATGGTAAATGTGCAATTGAAAGCGTGCGGGGACAGCTGACGATCACTGCTATAGCGGGGATTTGATTCATTTTTTATCGCAACACATCTGAGGGGAGACGAAAGGAAAATCGATTCAATGGTGCCTTGAATCAGCAAATACAGCAGCAAGGGACCAGACATATTGTTTGCATTTGCGTGCAAACCATCACTATATAGACAGCATTGTTATGACGAAACCACATAAATAGTAATAAAACACATCACTGGTTCTTTTCCCACACAGAATGTCACGCATTAGCATACATCACATCTGCATGACACACCAACACGACACCTCATTTCAGCTTTCGCATTGTAATAGCGGAATATCAAGATGTAAAGGTAAATTTATTTGAAATTAAATGCAAATTATTTTTTGTGTGTGGGGGGTGCATATCTCAGGCACATAGACCGGTCGGGCGTGGTGGTAGCTGTACAGTTGTTCTCTGAGGGTTCATACCTTTGTTTGTGTTGTATTCTCACCGCAAGGTTTGTGTGAAAATTCTTTGCGTGCTATACGTCACTGCCACCACCGAAAGCTGTAGCTCATAACAAGCTTCACTTGAAAATGACGTTTATTCATCTTTCGAACACGTTACATTCAACGCTGGTCTACTTCCAAAAGGCGAAGGTGTCCTGTCGCCTGCACTCCATCTTTCATGATCAATCTCTATCGTTACCTGAAGCCGACCGCTAAGGTCACACGCACGCAAGTTCTACATCACCGTCGGTTCAGCAGGACAGCGATAAGCTCAGTGGTTGCCATGGGCAACAGCTGGGTCGTATGTCTTTTGTTTCATCAACATTCATTCCCGTGCAACATCAGAGATTCTCGCTACTGTAGTTTGCACTCATCGATTTGCTACGCCTACGACAACAAGACCGCGTAAAAATTTAATTCCAGTCCACCCGGAGCGCGCAGTTCAAAAGGACGGCTGGCGTGACACACGCGCTTTGCGGAAGTAACGATCGTATACGGGAACTAGTCGCTTCCTCCTCTAAACTGTCACGCAAAGCCACAAACGGCGGCCGTTTCTTTTCATTTTAAAACAGCAGTGTTATTAAGTACTGGAGTAAGAAGTAGTTGAAGCTCGTAAGAGAGCCTCGTAGTCTTTGGCGACTGTATCTACCTGATAACTCTTACCTCACAGAATCCCGTTGTCGTTTGTGTTGTCTCGCAGGGGAAACGAAATGTTAAAGAACAGAAATTTTGATGTGTATGGTAGGCATGGTATATGGCGTGTAGCTGCTAAGCAGTACACAGGATCGACCCGTCCTCGTCTACTTCGTTAGGCATCATCAGGAGACGGGGGAGGAGGGGGGGAGATGATGTCGTTGCGCATTGCTAATAACGTGTCCTGCCTACATATTGTCGGTAATCATGGCCTGGAACACCGCAATGTGCATTTCGTGCAATCAGAAATACGTTTACGCGCATCACAAATGAACTTTCTGTTGGTCTGTCGCGAATCTACGACCGGAACTCGCGCCATGGATTTGTCTAAGTTTGCCGCTTTGTCGTGCTGATGCATGGTGGCGCCACTTTCCTTACTATAAAAAGGCATCGGTATCGATCGTCTGCGAGGGCTTCTTTCTTTTTTTTTTTTTTTTTTTTGATCCGCGAAACGTGTACCGGATGCTTTCGGGAATGTTTGTTCGCGCCCGCCTGGGACGTTCTTTCGAGGCATACCTGTCAGTTGACCTAAGTGACAAATCACTTTTTCAGGTGCCCCAGAAGTGCAGTAATGTTCTTGGGAGAGAAATATGGTGATCTGCGCGTTTGGAGCACGAAGCTATGAAATACATTGATTGGGATTTGTGAGAAATAAAAGCGTCACTTGTTGACGATTCACCTGTGACCTTTGTTATTTTTAGGAATTCGAGAAATTTTATTTGGGAGAAACCTTCATGGATTTCTTCTCTCGCTGCTTGGTACATAGGGATAAATAAGAGTATTTGCTTTGCATAGCCCGATTGCCCCGCCGCGGTGGTCTAGTGGCAAAGGCACTCGGCTACTGACGCACAGGTCGTGGGATCGAATCCCGGCTGCCGTGGCGGAATTTCCGATGGAGGCGGCAATGTTGTAGGCCCGTGTGCTCAGATTTGAGTGCACGTTAAAGAACCCCAGGTGGTCGAAATTTCCGAAGCCCTCCACTACAGCGTCTCTCATATGGGGGTTTTGGGACGTTAAACACCACATATAAATCAAAACCAATCAATCGATTGCACAGCCCGATTAAGTCAGCGTTGACAGATCCTGTCAAAGAAGTGAAACAGTGTCAAACGCAGCGTGAACGCTTGTTCGCTCGATGATGTACTCTCTTGATCAGGTCCTGCGGAAATATATCTACACCATGAATCAGTATACAATCAGGCTGCCCGAAAAAATGCAACATAAAGTAGGAGACGCCATTTTCTTTATTTTTGCTCCCTTGTTAAGCTCGTGTGTCATTCATCACGTTTTCTTCTAAAGTTAGGGTTGTGCTCCTTTTTTTTCCTTCTGCTAACTTCTCTCTTGCTTTGTTTGCCTTAACCTGCAGGAGACTGCGGTCCTGGATTCTTGAGGGTTCGTGAGGACTCGGAATGCAGTGAGTAAAGTGCACAACGCATTTTTTTTTGTTTAAGCTAAAGCAAGACGTAAATGAAAATGTAATCCTAAAAAGCTTGTGGAGTTTGAAAACTTGCTAACGGCACACGAGAAAGCATTAGCGAATGTAAGTTCCACATTCGTCACTTTATTTCACCTCCTCTTGCACAATAACAATTTGACTCGGCTAAGGACACGATGTAATTTGAGCTGACTTAGTATCGCGTGTGAAAAGCCAACCTGTTTGTCTCACACAGTAACGAAAAGGCTCATGGAATTGGCAAGTGAGAAGTACCAGCTCCAACGTAGAGACCTAAATTCACCTGCATTCTTTTCAGCGTGAGCGCAGGCAGATTGAATTAAGTATTCAGACAGAAACACAGTGATCCGTATGCATTTGCCTAAATCTACGAGAAAGCGTAAACCACCTTCTCTTTCTTATCAATCATTGTATTGGCCCTTCCACGTAGTGACGTTTTCCGGTGACGTCATGATGAGGTCACATTGCGAGGTCATTGCCCTGACACCTCGGATCACGTGTTCTTTTGCATCGGTCTTGTTGACGCCGGTGGTCACGCTTGGTGTTTGCTTAGGCATGTAAGGCCTTATTAATGCCATAATAATCGTGTGATATCAAAGCTGGATGTGAATACGTGGATCCGAAACACACGCGGCGTACGCGTAAGACGCAAGGCGAGACACAAGTAATAGATAACAGAGGATGAATAGAGGAAGCACGCGAAGGCACTTGTCAGAACTGGTCGCTCGTAGGATGGAACATTCTACACTTACAGCCGTGAAAAAGGGGCCGTTCCTATTTATTGCAACTAACGACTCAAAACCGTGAGCCCTCTGCAGGCGTACCGCAAGCGTGCTTCACTGCAGCAATTATGTACGTGTGGAGAAGCCACTTTTAGGTACTTCCGATCTTCGATACATCTCTGCGCATAATATTCAGTCAAATGTCAAAACACGAGCACGTTAGTTAGTTAGTTAGTTAGTTAGTTAGTTAGTTAGTTAGTTAGTTAGTTAGTTAGTTAGTTAGTTAGTTAGTTAGTTAGTTAGATAGATAGTTAGTTAGTTAGTTAGTTAGTTAGTTAGTTAGTTAGTTAGTTAGTTAGTTAGTTAGTTAGTTAGTTAGTTAGTTAGTTAGTTTTTAGTCTGCTGTGTGACAATGTCAAATAATTAAGGAAAGCGGCAGACAAATAAGCCAACAAAAACACAAGGAACAATATTTGTGACCACCTAGATATAGTTCAACGAACCTGTCCTGCCGTGGTGGTCTAGTGGCTAAGGTACTCGGCTGCTGACCCTCAGGTCACGGGATCAAATCCCGGCTGCGGTGGCTGCATTTCTGATGGTAGCGGAAATGCTGTAGGCCCGTGTGCTCAGATTTGGGTGCACGTTAAAGAACCCCAGGTGGTCATAATTTCCGCAGCCCTCCACTACGGCGTCTCTCATAATCATATGGTGGTTTTGGAACGTTAAACCCCAGATATTAGTCAGTAAATGAGTGTAACGAATCTTGCTTAAAATCAAATTGGACGAAAAATTGCACTATCCATAGGTGGGACATGCAGCCACAACCTCCGACGATGCGTAAATCCACGTTAACGAGCCCATCGGGCAATTATCCTTGCAACGGGACATGACGACACTTCTAATGTGACGCACTTTTCAGCAACACTCAATGCATTATTACCCGGTGGAGAACACCACTTAAGACCTCTCCCATTTTCGTTTCCAATGTAATGTCATTTCGAGCAATGAAAACCCGGTAATGTATTCACTTCCGCGTTATCCTTACCTCTGATAGACTACCACAGGCCTTTGCTACTCGGCTTTTTTTTTCTTCCCATTTAGCTCACATTCCACTCATTTCTAACTCTATGTTGTTGATCAATACTGACTATCATTATCAACATGATCAGCTTTCTCCCTTTCCTTTATAAAGATGTATAGTCATTTTTGTATACTTATTTAGATGTGAGAGCATGCCCCGCCGCGGTGGTCTAGTGGCTAAGGTACTCGGCTGTTGACCCGCAGGTCGCGGGTTCGAATCCCGACTGCGGCGGCTGCATTTCCGATGGAGGCGGAAATGTTGTAGGCCCGTGTGCTCAGATTTGGGTGCACGTTGAAGAACCCTAGGTGGTCGAAATTTTCGGAGTCCTCCACTACGGCGTCTCTCATAATCATATGGTGGCTTTGGGACGTTAAATCCCACATATCAATCAATTAGATGTGAAAGCTTATGAAGGTAGGTGTCATTGTAGCCGGCTATCTGAAGATTATGTAATCTGTGCTCTGCTAGCAAATATCTAAGGAAAAGAAGTAGAAAACCCATAGAGACCGCTACGCGCACTTAAAATTGCAAGTGTAAAAAGATTATCTCTGTGGGCAGGTGATACGTTTGGATACGGTAAGAAACGCGATACGTTTAACACATGCAGCAATAACAGATATATAAATACCCTCCGATGGTTGTGTCCTTTAATGAATCTGGAAGAGCGATCGTACGTGCTGAATAGTTTATCGATCAACACCGTTCCTCGCGGCTTTGTGTTGGGTTAATGTATCGTTCTTGCCCGAAGAATCTGGATGGAGGCGAGGCTGGCGTGAATATTGCCTCGTTGCCCCCGGCGATCAATCTTGGGCTGCAATCTGTAACATACCTCAGCGTCGCCGTAAGTAGGCTGACGGGCCGCTTATAATCAATTACGCGTGTCCTATCGCAACGACAGGCACGAAGTGTTCACCAATGGATCGCTCCTTGCCACTTGATTTTTGTCGCAAGGTGCGCCGAAGATCAGGTGTGGTACGTTGAGCGTAGCCTCGGTTTTAAATGTACTGTAGGCGTCCGGGCTGTGGTCACATGTCGTTTTGTCATTGGCCGTCGTCTAATGTCATCGTTTGGTGCCATGCAGGCTTGGCCATGTATAGCATAGCCATGTATAGCATAGTGTGGTGATGAAGGTGGAAAGGGAAGTGAGGGTGAGGGAAAATAGGAAGGGAAGGGTAAAGTATAGCATAGTCATGTATTGTGCCACGTATGAAAAACAATATACAAAATAGCCGTGTACAGTGTAGTGTAGAACGGTGGCGGGAAAATCAAGTGTGCGCGAGTAGAGGGTAAAGCATGCAATAACTATGTATAGTATAGCCGCTGATAGCCGTGTGTCGTATAGTATGATGGGAAAGGTAAAAGATGGTCGAGCAGGGCACTGCAAAGCATACCATGGCCGTGCACAGCATAGCGTATCAAGGAGAGGGAAAAAGGGAAGTGTTGGAGAGGAGAAGGAAGGAAAATAGGAGGAAAAGAACGGCAGGAAGGTTAACCAGCCTATAGACAGACGGTTTTCTACCTTGTGCACGGGAGGGGGATGGGGAGATGAAAGATAGAGAGGAGAGAGGGAGAGGAGAAGGAATGTAAGAGTGAGTACCAGGAGAGGGTTAATCGTTGAATAGCCGTGTACAGCATATCGGCAGGTAAGTATGGCAAGCGAGGGTGATCAGGAGGAAATGGAGCCTGGGAGAGAGCATCATTACATTACAAACTAAGTTTTCCTTTCCCGCTATAGACTCTGAGCACGCTGCACGCTTGCAACGCCAGTGTTTGCTTGCGCATCAACGCCAGCGCCGCCAAAGGGCAGGTTAAACATTGCTCTGACTTCCCACCGCTTTTTGAGTGCGGCTGCATACATTATTTCTAACACATAAACGTCCTCGGGCTACTCTCGTAAGAAATTGGCCCGTACGTCAATCCTGTGGCCCACAACGCGTCGCATGGCGATGAACTCGCATCGCGTGCTCCGAAAAGATTGATATGTGGGGTTTAACGTCCCAAAACCACCGTATGATAATGAGAGACGCCGTATAGTGGAGGGCTCTGAAAGTTTCGACCAACAAGGGTGCTCTTACGAACACCCATATCTGAGCAAACGGGTCTACAGCATCTCGGCCTCCATCGAAAATGCAGCCGCCACAGCCGGGATTCGATTCGGCGACTTGTGGGTCGGCATGCTCCAAAAGGATTTCAGGACGAGTAACAGTGACAGAAACTACAGTGAGTCCATGCCAGTCGAGCAAGTGTGCTCGATTTGCATGGACTCACTGCATGGACTCACTCATTGCTCGACTTCCTTGCAAGTCGAGCAAGTGTGCTCCACTTGCAAGGAAGTGTTAACACCAAGAAATGTGCCTGCGAAGAACGGAACTTCAAGCGGACAAATGCGATGCTTCGCGTGGTTCCCTTTAGTGGGAGATGGTGTAAGGTATTTCTCAGACTTTAAATTAGCATAAATATGCGTAAGCACGTCGATGAGGTTGCCTTCGCGAAGTCACGTGGGCGATCGCGTATATGGTGCAACGTGTAGGGTGACAGGATGTGTGCGCAACTTGGAGTATCAACCTTCTACTGCTGGCCCACCACCGAATTTCTAGCTCCCAATGAACGTGGTCATTTCGCCCCACTAAGGAAAAGCGGAAAAAAAGTCCTCGGATTCGTTCTCTGTTGCAGTAAGTCAACCCCCTTAGTGGTTGCGCGGAGTAATATGTACAGGCGTAAGCATAAGTTTGCAGACCACGGGATCACGTGACCGAAGGCATAGATGCGCCATCTAGCGACGAGACGCCTGCTGCGGTGCGCATGCGCGTCCCGTCCTATCAGTTGGCCTCTAATGTCGCTCTCTCCGACGTGCTCCTAGCCGAAACGACAACGATTTGTCGCTCTCTTTGCTCCGCTAAATTTCTGCAATATTTTTTTCCTTTTTTTTACGCCGCTGCTTCGATGGCGCCGGTTCCAGCACCGGGCTCACTTCGTTATGTATACCTGTTTATTAGCATAGTTAAGTGTAGCCAGCATCGCAAAACCAGTATCGCAAACGCATAACTCACCACGTGGGCTCATCGCAGACAGCCCGCGGTGCCGTCCAGCTGGAAGCAACCGTCCACGCCACCGCCCCAGGCCATGTCACCGTTTTAAAAATCAAAGAAAAAATTGTT